TTTGGTCCCAAGATATTTACCAAGAACACCAAATACCCACAGCACCCACAAACTCTGCCAACACCAAAGAGGCTTAATTGTCTAAACTCCAGTGGCCAAAGAAGGGTTGAAATGGGCTTATTTTTTTCTCTACAGCTCAGATTTCTCTGAATGTGACTGAATTTAGAGGCAGGATTTTGTGCTAATGTAAGCCGCTCACACTGACAGCTTCTCCTTCTATTGAGAGAATATATTCCTGAAAATGTTCTGCTGAGTTTCCTTAGTTTCTAAAAACAATAGATAATATATAATAAAGAAATATATATATATATATATAAATTAGTGATTTGAGTGCATGAGAGAAGTAGCCATTGTTATTTGACTTGTAAAATATGAAATAATATGTTTGTGCCTTGATTATTTTAATGGAAATGAGGAATCTAGGAGAGAACATTGTAAACTCCTTATATTCCAGAATCAATTTATGGAATGCAATTGCCACCTCCATAGCAATGCCTTTCTTTACAAAACCTTCACAGAAGTAATTCAGCGTGAATGTGTGATGGGATGATACTATCTGATATCCCTTGTGTTTATACTATTCATTGACCCTTACAATAGTGACTTATGAAAAATGGGAGATGCTTTCTACATCTGAAATCACAGATAAATTTTTCAAATAAGTAAAGAAATTTGAGAAAGAATCAAAGATTTTATCTATCATTTTTCTTCTTCAAAAAGTTAAGACTAAAAAAGAAATCATAAAGATTGAAATAGCATGATAAAGGACCATGTCTTCTTATCCATATCAGGTCATCCAGCCTCTGAGTTCTTCTAATTCTTCAGGGGAAATTCTTACATAAGGAAAATTCAAGAACATTCTGGAATGAACATGTCAAATGCCAATTTTTAAGAAATACATATGAAGAGGACTTGCAAAAAATTAACTGGTAAGAATAATTAAATATATCTTAATACATTTAGGGAAGACTTTTGTTTAATAACATTGTATATCTAAATTTTAAACATTAATTTTAATATCATTAATATTCATTTAATGCTATGATAGCGGTAATACATTTCAATGCTGCCTTTTGTTATTCAACTGTTATTAAGTTGGAAACAATGATATAATAGAATTAATGATGCAAAATTCTGCATGTGCACAGAAATTAAAAATGTCTTTGAAGAATGGAAGTTATCATCTTTATGTCTTATTTAAAATAATATGTAATAAAGGAAGATATGAAATAATATCTAAGAACTAACAAAAGAGGCACCTTAAGTCCCTTCAGTTTTTCCCAGTTTTTCCCTCTTCTCCACTTGCTATCACGGATAATTATGGCCACATTATATTAAGTATCATTTATATATTTATAATTCATAAGGTAACAAAGTTATTTTCCACAGCTAACATGCAGCTCATTGGGATATATATAAATTATACTTAAGTATATATTCTAATATAGGTAAGCTTAAATATAATTTTTTGGGTTGAAAAAATGTAAAGTTTTAAAGATGTAAATAAAAACTGCCTTTAATTTCAATATATTACTACCATATAAATTATTACTAGTAGATTTAAATTAATGGAAAAACCAAATACTTTAAATCAAGCAATATTTTCATGAATGTGGAATTAAGTCTTTTTTGTTGGTTTCCTTCAAGAAAAATAAGAAAAAAAAAAGTGAAAAAAGCAGCATTCTCCAAACATGTAAACATGGAAATCCTGGAGACTTCTGAAACGTTCCCTGCTAAGTTTCAATTACAAGAGAAAATACCTCGGTGTGCCAATGTGTCAGGATAGTCTCTAGAAATGACAGGTATCATCTTCATAGTCTCCCTTCTATGTTGTCTAAACCAAAATTACTTTAATTTAACAGTATTTTTATATTCTATTGGAACACACACATAAACACACACAAACACAGAGCAAGGTTGAATACATTTTCAAATAAGTTTTGCCTGATATGTGCAAGAAACTCATTTGTGCCACATCAACTCCATCAGTCTTCATCAATTTCCTCATAAAATCACACAGTCCACTACAGAAACTAGAAGTATCATCACCCGCAGTTTCTAAGAAAATAATTACAAGTACATCCATGGAGTTCGTGCTGACAAACTAAAATGGAGGATTGTTTTCTTATGTGTTTTGGGCTAGGTTAACAAATCTGTAAACCAGCAGTAAACACAACCATACCGTTACCATGCAGAAATAATTATTACTATTATGAATTTTATTTCTTTTTTAAAAAGATTTATATATTTATGCGTACAAGAACTGGGGCACAGGCCAGAGGTGCAGGGGTTGAGAGGATTCACCAGAGACAGAGTGGGGAGCAGACCAGGCAGATTGAAATACACTGCTGAGGGGAGCAACGGGGAGACAGGAGAGATCTGCTGCTCCATGTGGGTAGCTCCGTGGCTGTCTAGGGATAGAACTTGTGCTGAGGAGGCTGTGGATAGCTTCATAATGCTGTGCTTAACCCTTTGCACTACCAGGGAGGCCCTATGTATTTTATTTCTATATATTTTTTATTCTTTGCTTCTTCCATTTCTGTGTATTTACATATCTTGAGAACATAAAATGTATATATCTTACTTTTTGTCATCCAAATAGTGGTTAGATTCCATTTTCAAAAAATATATCATAGATATAATTTTCAAGACCACCTAAAATATTATCACAAAAGTAATTATTCAGTTTCAGTATTTACCAGTATTTTTTTTTCTGCTGCAGTAATTTTATTAATTTTTTGTGGAAACATTTTAGATAGATAGATAGATGGTCAGATATTTTAGATAGTTTGACCATTTTAGATGGTCAGATAGATAGATAGATATGACACATATATATTTAATAAAGTACCATTGTTTTACACCCTTGTTAATTTTTTGAAAATACAGGATTTCTCGACTCAGGGGTGGCCACTGTAGCTCTCCCACCACCAAATCACCCACAGTCCTCTACTATAGCTCATTGTGTTCTCCCTCTTCCCACTGCTTTTCCCTCTCCCCTCTTTTCCTGGGTCCCCAGATCTATGGTCAGCTTTCAACTGCTAGTTTAATTAATCAATTAATTGATTGGCTTTATTTTTAAATTGTAATTGAATTATCATTATTTTACATCCTTAGTAGTGTTTTGACAGTATAGGATTTCCTCTCCCCACCAGGTATAATCACCATGGTTAGTTCTCCACCATAGTCCACTGTGCTCTTCTTCCCCCATTCCCATGTTGTCGCCCCTCTCCTTCACACTCTCCACCCCCCATCTGAAAGCCTAATACCAATGGTCAGTTTTCAAGTTTGATTTTAAGGTTTGTCTCTGTCTGACTCTTGGGTTTGTTCCTCCATATTTCACACAGAAGTGAAGCCATCTGGTTATCTTTTTCCTGACTTATTTTACTTAGCATAATCCCTTCCAGCTCCATTCAGGTCACCAAACAAGGTTTATTTTTTGATTGCTGAGTAATATTCCATTGTGTGTATATATATATATACCACATCTTTGATCCACTCATCTGTTTGTGGGTACTTAAGTTGTTTCCACACCTTGACTATTGTAAATATGCACTAATAATAAATAAACATAGTTTTTAAAATACTAATTATTCATGTGTTTTATTAAAAATGTCGTTGAGGTATAAAGTTACCTGGTTTAAGATGCAGATTGTTTTAAGGGTTTTGGTAAATAATTGGCTCTTTTCCAGGAAGCATGCACAAATGTGACCATACTACTTAATTGTTTTAGGCTTATTTTTTTTGTTTTCATGAAATAAGCATCATATTCATTATTTTTTAATATGAATTTTATTGAAGTAACATTGTTTTACACCACTGTATGTGATTTTGGGTTCTACATTCAATTTCCTCGGATGTATGTTACAACTGGATGTCTTCATAGTTAGTAGTATTTTCTTTTTGCATTTAAACTAATGTGTTGGGACCAAAAATTATGTTTCATAGTAGTTTTTGATTTTAAGAATTTGAGTAAATGATTTTTTCAAGTGTGTATTATTTATATTTGTTTTATAAGAAACAGTGGGAAGGCCTGTTCTTGTCCATTTCCATTGGGAAATTATCATCTTTCAGGTCAATTTTTATGATATTTTAATGATAATTATTATTTATATATCATAATTATTGCACAAGTGCTATCAGTTTTGTGAGTCATAATTTTACCCACTGAGAAAATAATTGTTTAGATAGAAGAAAAACCTTGAAGAGTTTTTCCTCTCATACGTAAGACAAAATTATAAAATTACAATATTAAAAGCACTTATAGTTGGAGTGGCATATGAAAACAGATAATGACTGAAAATGAATAGATAGCTAAAAACACTAGTAAATATGAGTGTATGAACTATATAAAAATCTTAACGTAAGTCAATCTTCAATTCTAAATACCCATTATTAAAATTATATATTTTAAAGATATCTAATACATTTTATTACATATCTATATATTTCCTTTGATTGAAATGGGCAATATTAAGATTTGGAACCAGCTTACCCATGTTTCCATGACTGAGTCAAAGTTATTGAAAATTGCTCCTGGTGATTATTAATTTAGACAACTATTTCATATTTATGATAATGTGATAATTTCTTTTTTTTTAAAGATTTTATTTATTTATACAAGCACTGGGATACAGGCCAGAGGCACGGGAGGGTGAGAGGATTCACCAGAGACAGAGCAGGGAGCAGAACAGGCAGAAGAACCGAAGTACACTGCTGAGAGAAACAGTGGACAAAGCAAGAGAGGTCTGCTCCCCCATGTGGGAATCACCCTGGCCGGCCAGGAATCGAACCAGAACTGCAGAGGCTACTGACAGCTTCACAGCGCTGCTCTCTACCCACTGCGCCACTGGGGAGGCCCGATAAGGTGATGATTTCTTCGATTGATTTCTTGCTTAACTTCATGGAGCTTAAGGTGAGTTCAGTGGTTAAGTAAAAGAAATTTCCAAATGTTCCTGTCTTGTCTTGCAGCCAAAATCGTTCAAAAGTTGAAAAGGACTATGGCTAATTTCACTATGAGTGGGTTTCTTCTAATGGGATTTTCTGCGAAACCTGAGCTAGAACTCTTTCATGCTTCACTATTCTTAGTCTTATACACGGTGGCATTAACTGGCAATCTCCTCATTATCACCTCAATTTCCATGGACAATAGTCTCCACTCACCCATGTATTTCTTCCTGAAACATCTCTCCTTTCTAGATCTGTGCTATATTTCCGTGACTGTGCCAAGGTCCATTTATAGCTCTTTCCTGCATAGTGACTACATTTCCCTCGGTGAATGCATAGTGCAGTGCTTTGCTTTCACTCTCTGTGCTTCTGCTGAGCTGTATATGCTCACGGTGATGTCTTATGATCGCTACGTGGCCATCTGCTTTCCACTGCGCTACGAAATCATCATGGATGTCAGCACCTGTGTCCGTGGAGTGCTAAGCGTCTGGATCAGTGGGGTCATAACTGGAATCATGCACACAGTTGCCACTTTCTCCATCCACTTTTGTGGTTCCCACATCATTCACCAGTTCTTCTGTGACATCCCCCAGCTCCTGAAACTCTCTTGTTCTAATGAGTACATCAACGAGGTTGGGGTCAGTGCCTTTTTGTCACTAATGGCACTTCTTTGCATTGTCTTTATTGGAGTGTCCTACACACATATATTCTCTACAGTGCTGAGAATGCCGTCTGCTGAGGGCAGAGCTAAGGCCTTTTCCACTTGCATTCCCCACCTTGCTGTGGTCATATTATTTATTTCAACCAGTGTCTTTGAGTTTTTCAAGCCAACTTCTGACTCTCCAAGTGCACTAGACATTTTGCTCACTATTATGTACACAGTTGTGCCCCCAACACTGAACCCAATGATCTATAGCCTGAGGAATAAAGCCATAAAGGTTGCTCTAAGAAAGATTTTCCAAAGAAGAAAAGCTGATATGTTTTGTTGAGATACATCTATTAATTCATTTTTGGGAGACAAATTCAAAACATTGGGAAAACTATTACCTTAAACAAAATGAGACAAAATTAATTTAGTTTTTTAAAGAATGAAGACTGAGGACTCAAGGCTGGAAATAACATACAGGTAGTTCTGGAAAAGTTGCTTGAACTTTGAGATTCTCAATGAGGATTACTTATCATTTGCAAGGGATGTATGTCAAGGATCCATGTAGGTGTCTCTTCTGATGCTTCTGTCTGATGTTGTCTCTGCATTCAGGAAAACACAGATGGTTGTTCAAATTTATCCTTTAGTGCTTTATCTTCTTCCAACTGGGAGTTTTACCTTGTAGTCTGCCTCTCTTTGAATTTACTGATTTGCCCAGAAGCAGCATTTCTAAAATGCTTTTTCACAGAGTGTTTTTTTAAATTATTAACATTTTTTCAAAAGATTTATTTATTTATGCATACAAGAGCTGGGGTTCAGGCCAGAGATGCAGGGGGTTAGAGGATTCACCGGAGACAGAGTGGGGAACAAAACAGGCAGATCGACTGAAGTACACTGCTGACGGGAGCAGCGGGCTAGTCAGGAGAGGGTCTGCTGCTCCATGTGTGTTGCTTTCTGGCCAGCCCAGGGATTGAACTTGTGCTGCAGAGGCTGCAAATTGCTTCATAGTGTGGTGCTTAACCACTTGAGCCACCAGGGAGGCCCCTCACAGAACATTTTTTTACCACACGATTTCTTCAGGCCAGATCCGCTGCATCTTAACTCTGGCCTTGTGCCCTTTAATTGGGACCATTTACCTGTTAAATTTGGTTAAGTAAGCATAATGTAGTCAATTGAGATTTTAAAGCTAATTAGAGAAATGGTTATAGGGAAAGAACTCATATGGAAAAGTTGTCATAAACTCTCTAATATGAATATTCACACATAGTTTTTAGACTTTACTCCTGCAAACACAGTAGATTAAAATCTCTCTCCAAAAAGTCAGGCATAAAAAGAAATTTCCATAAATTTAAAGCAGTTGACAATTTCTTCCTTCATCATTTCTGTCTGGATGATGAAAGACAATAAATATGGGGCTATTTTCCATTGCTTCTTGAGTTACACTGGAATTGGGACATCGCATCTATGAATTGACGAGAACCCCCCTTGCTCTCAGCACCCACTGGCTATGCAGAGCTGCACTGAGGCTCTTTGAATCTTGAAGGTCTCTATGAGTAATATAATGAGGTCTCTGTGCAAAAATATCATTAAACCATTTTTTCACTCTTAAAAAGAAATGGATTGCCACTCACCTGGGTGTGATGTTTAAATAATACAAAATCTGTGAGTGCCTCAGAAATACAGGTTTCTGACTGTTAAATAATTCAAAGATTAAGTAGAAGAAATGCTACTAAAAGTACTTATTTTTTAAAAAGATTTATTTATTTATTTATACAAGCACTGGGTACAGTCAGAAGCACGGGAGGGTGAGAGAATTCACCAGAGCCAGAGCTGGGAACAGAATAGGCAGACTGACGAAATACACTGCTGAGGGGAGCAGCGGGCATGGCAGGAGAGGTCTGTCATGCCATGTGGGACCCTTGCCGGCAGCCAGGGATCGAACTGGTGCTGCAGAGGCTGTGGGCAGCTTTGCAGCCCAGTGCTCAACCGCTGCACCACCAGGGGAGGCCCTAAAAGTGTTGTATTTTACCAAAAGGATAGATAAATTGAAAGATAGGGGAAAAGTACTTATGTGAGTTTAATGTATAGTGATTGATATGTAAAAAAAAATCAATGGATGCAATCAGCATGTAAAACAAGGAAAGATAGAATTAATGAACTGAAAGTTATATTGCTCATATAAACATATCATATGACATTTACAAAGTAATCTGAAACAAAGTGTTTTAACATCATGAGAAAGAGATTGAATCACAAATGATAAATGTGGAAGGTCTGATGTTGACAAAAGTTAAAAGTTCTTAAGGTACCTATTTCTTTCATGCTTTGAAGGCAGTGACATATTTTCATAGAAAATATGAAAATTTTTCCCCACAAATTTATAGAGATAAAATTCTTCTGATATGAGAAACAAAAGTGATCAATATATGCAAAAAGATTTCACAAGTAGAATATCCCATTGAAACTATAAAATAAAAAAAAGAACAATGAAAGGACTTCCATTTTTAATGACTGAGTAATAATGTATTGTGTATATTACCACATCTTCTTTAGTCATCATTCAATGATAGGCTTTTTTGTTATTTCTACCTCTTAGTTGTCAATTGTGCTGCACTGAACATAGAACATATGCATAAACATAAAACATATGCATATATCTTTTATGCATAAACATAAAACATATGCATATATCTTTTCAAATCAGTGGTTTCATATTCTTGGAATGAAAATAAGAGTGGAATTACTGGTTCATATGGTATATCTTTTTTAAATTTTTTGAGAACTTGAATCTTGTTTCCATTTTTGTTGCATCAGTTTACCAGTGTAAAGGATCCCCTTTTCTCCCCCCATCTCCTGCAGCTATTGTTTCTTTTCTTCTGGTAACAGCCATTCTCACAGGTGTGAGATGAGATGTAATTTCATATCTGATGTGCATTCCCCACAGTGAGAGAACAGCTGAACATCTTTTCACAAGACTGTTGGCCATTTATTCCGTGGAGAAGAACCTATGCAAATCCTCTGGCCATTTTTAATGGAATTTTATTTTTTATGTTGATTTGATTATATATTTTTGGATATTAATCCCTTATCTGATACATAGTTTGCAAATATCCTGTCCTATTCAGTAGGTTGACTTTTTCTTCTAATGATGGTTTCTTTCACTAAGCAGGAGCTCTTTAATTTGATGTAGTCCCATTTGTTTATTTTTGTTCTTGTTTCCCTTAATGTTGGAGTCCAATCCCCAGAGTCATCTCTAAGGCTGATCTCAATAAACTCATATTCTCTGTTCACTTTATATATTTTATGGATTCAAGCTATCACTAAGGAACATATCTGTGAGTTTATGGTCTAATCTTTTTTGCTCGTGTTTTAGGGCTTCAGGCATAATCTTCAGTTTTTAATTTCAAAAACATTTTTTAAATTAAAATTCCAGGTAACTGGGTATAATCATTAAATTAATTTAAAGGGAAAATGCTCTGCAGAAACAATGAGTGTAATTGCAATATTTAGTCCCACGATATTTACTGAGAACAACAAATACCCACAGCATGCACAAATTCTGTGCCAAAGAGAATGCATAGCCTAACCTCCAGTGGCCAAAGAAAGGTTGAAATGGACTTATTTTGTCTTCCCAGTTCAGATTTTTCTGAATGAATTCAGAGGTGCTAAGTGTGCTAAGTGTCAGCTGCTCACATTGACATCTTTTCTTTTTGTTGAGGGAAGAAGTTCTTGAATATGCTCTGGTGAGTGTTCTTAGATTCTAAAAATATAGATTGCACAGAATAGTAAAAACCCATAAGTTACTGGTTTTGAGTGGGTGAAAGCAGTCACTGTTATTTAATGTGTAAAATATGAAATCCTTTGCATGAGCTATGATTATTTAAATAGAAATTAAGTATCTGGGAGAGAACACTGTAAACTTCTTTTCCAGAAATAGTTTGTGGACTGTAGTTCCCACCTCCCTAGCAATGCCTTTCTCTATGTAACCATGTGAGAGTAATTCAGTGTGAACATGTGATGGGGTGACTCATGATATTCCTTGCATTCATTTTATTCATTGATTCATAATAGTGACACAGAGATTGAGGTGCTCTCCATGTCAGAGAACATAGGTAAATTGTTCAAGTATGGTAGAAACATGTAAAGATTAAGAATGGATGAAATATTTTAATGGGAGCAATATAACCACAAATTCCATCTTCACAAAATAGAGATAAAAAAAAAACAAGATAAATACTGATAAAACAAGCCAATCAGCCTCCTTATTTCTTTGAATTTTCAGGGAAAATTCTGTGATAGAGAAAATTCAGGAAAATTCTGGAATGGACATGTTAATGGCCAATTTATTTTTAAAAATATAGAGAAGAGGACTTGCAAGAAAAATAACTGGCAAAATTCATTAAAATATCACATGTGATACACTGAGCAAGAACTTTTGTTTTGAAAACATTATATCTACCTAACATTTAAGCATTGATTTTTAAAAACATGAAAGTTTACCAAAAGCTGTTGATAGAGTGTTAAATTTTGTATGTTCCCTTTGATAGAGCATAGAATAAACTAACGTCAATGAAATAGTAGAACAAATGATGTAAAATCCTGGGTCTGCACTGAAAGTTGAAATTTCATTGAAGAAGGAAAGTGATAATCTTTATGATCATACTTAAAGTAATAGCTCATAAATAAAAGCAAAGTATCCCAAAGTAATTCTGAAAAACCACAAAAGAGAAATTTGAAGTCCCTTTATTTTTTCCGCTTCTTCATTTGTTATCACAGACAGTTGTGGGGACAGTATATTAACTACTAGTTAGATATTTTTAAACCATAATGTGACAAAGTTCTTTCTACACACCCATAGACACACAGACAATTGTTTAACATATAAATTTTACATATATATTCATCTATATGTAATGTTAAAAATAGTTATGTAGTATTTTTCAAGAGGCAGAAAGGATATGTAAAGTTTTAGCGATGAGAACAAAATTTGCATTTAATTCCATTATATGGCCTCTACACGAATTATTAACAAGAGTAGATTTAAATTAATGGTAAGACCAAACAAAATATTTCTGGGTATATCAAGAAATATATTCATGCACATGGAATATACCATTTTTGTTGGATTCCCGAAAGAAAAATAAGCAAGCTTCTCCTAGATATATCAAAATAGAATTTCTTAGAACTTCCAGAATCCTCACCTTTTAAGTTTCAGTTGCAAGAGATGATGCGTGGATGAGCAAAGGTATCATTACAATCTCTAGAATTGTCAGGTGTCATCTTTAAAATCTCTTTTTAGTATTGTCTAATTACATTAATATTGCTGTGAATAAACACACAGAT